CTCTTAGCAAAGTTGCCTCACATCCATTCACTCCCTTATATGACTAATAGATTTTAAGGACTTAATATGTGAAGATTCTTGTAACAGGCATGGCTGGAAGATGCATCATAGTATGGAATTGTGTCAATCAAGGCCAAAAATGCATTGAGACATATTGACCAAGTACTCTGTATGAGGCCTTATGTTGGACATGCAGGTTTTTCCTCAAGAATTAGCAGCATAATGAAATGGCTCTGGTTATTCCTTCTTCTGAGAGTGAGGTAGCTAAAGTGTGAATTGATTAGAAACTAGTTGTTTCACTCAAATAACAAGTTAGGAACTGTCCAACTTTTGCCTCCAAACAATTTTAGTACAACATGAAGACTTCTAGGATTCTAATGAAAACATAAAAATGGCAAGTTCATATATTTATCTTTGGCATCTATGTGTGTATGGTATTCACTTGTGTGTTTACATGTATGTGAATAACATGTGGAAGTGACTGAGCATGCATATGTGTGCACATATGTGTAGAGGCCAGAAGTTGACTGCTGGACATTCCTCAAGCACTCCTCACCTTATATATTAAGGCGCCTCATTGCCACTCAGATCTTCCCACTCGCTAGTCTAGCTATCTTGTTTGCTGGAACATCCTTATGTCCACCTCCCATGCATTAGGTAAGGTTCCACTTGGGCCACACTGCCCACCTGGAATCCCAGCTCCAGTCCCCCTTCAGCCCTGGCATTTACTGGCAGAACCATTTCCTCCAGCCCCAAGAGATAAATTTAAGAGATTACAGGTGTGAGGTGGGTAAGAACATGGTTTGTATTTTGTTTCTGTGGAACAGGAAGTGAAGTCATAACTAATTTACTGATTGGACACATACATTAGCATCCTTGCTGCCTTCGTCTTTTTGGACAGTTTGCATGTATATTGATGACAGAAACACTAGAGGACAGATGGCAAAAGGGAAGAAATAATTCAGCAACTAGAAATACTGTACTGAATTCAAGAAGTCACGAATAAGGGCAAAGTGGGGGAAAAAAGCCACAGTAAAATGTAATTCTTTGTCTGATGAATGGTAACATGCTGCACACTCTACAAGCCAATGAGAAATCCACCAGTGGCTGGGCACTTGGGGACTCTGAGACTAAACCGTACCAGAATCAACTCATCCTCTTTTTTCTGCTTTCTAAAGCAAGGCAACAGCCCCAAGCCAGTAGAGAATCAATAAATAACTTTTAATTTGGATTCAGAAGTTCTAGCTACTCTGTGGTTAGAAACAGGATGTGAAACAAAGAGAATTTAGTGCCCCAAATATTACATGGAGTATTAAGTCATATTAAAATTTTATTAACTGACTATCTATGGTTTAACTGAAAGTGTCCTATTTTATATACTTTAAGAGATAAACAAATTAAATCTATTGCATTTTAATATAAAGTATGTGGATCTCTCAGAGATCAAGAGAATCTGGAATACATTGAAGAAGAGTCTATAAATGGTTTATTATTTAAAGAATTCATTCTCTTAACTTGAGGCAAGTATAAATTTGCTATATTCTGGGAAATTCTAGCATATGTACTTAAAATGTAGCTATATTTTACCTTAATTTTTATTTTAAAATACTTAAATGAGATCTACTGTTAAGTTTAAAGTGTTCAATACATGACAGTTGATGTAGGTCTAGTGTTGTGGAGCCAATCTCTAGGGCTGGCTCATTACTCAAATAGAGCTTTATTTATACTGACTGGAGACTATTCTTATCTGACAATAGTTATTTTTTGCATTTGTAAACATTGGCACTGAAATCCTACACACTGTAAACTGGAAGAAAAGTTTAATTTCCGTAGACTTTAGATTGTATTCTTGGAAAGCTGATAACAAATTTTAAGTATCAAATCTATTGTAAGTCTTCTTTCTATTAGGTATTACATGTATTTTAAAAAAAAATAGTGACATCTAAATCAGAGAGGTTTTATGCATCTCTACATTGGAAGCCATTCCTTCTTCCTCACTAGCTGGTTCCTCCAGTCAAAAACAGGACAGTGACCAATTGTTCAGCATGTCTTCTGATTCTTTGACCCACAGGCATGGAAAAGGAGTTGACATGTTCAGGAATTTTTTAGATGCTATAGTAAATCACCATAAACTTGGTTTGGGCTAGCCCTTTTAGTGTAACAAGACTTTTCCTGGGGAGATGAAACACACTGTCTTCTCACCCAAAATATGGTTCCCACAACAGACCAAAATATGGTTACCACTAAGGGCCAACTTGGTGAGCCAATGAGTTCTGTGGGGGTTATTTCAGGAATATGGGTGAGGGGTTACTTTCAGAAGCAGAATTGACTCAAAGAGAGCTATATCACCAAAGCCCACCCCTTCATGGGTGACAGCTCACAAAGCTGGGAACCTGGAGTACACTGCACAGCTTACTGGAAGCCTGGCAGGTTGAGAGTGTCCTTTCCAGTTGCCTCAGTTGGCCTAAACCTCTTCTAGGAAGCTCTTCTTGTCTGAGGGCCTTCTTTGTACCTTGGCTCTGCTTATACTGGCAGGTAAGTGATTAGACAATCCAATCGCTTTTTGGGAGTTCTTGAAGCAATTATTTGGGGTAGGGAGTGTTTATCTCTTTCTAAAGGAGCTCTCCTATGGGATGGAATGTTTTGATCTTGGAGAAGACTGTTACAAAACATCCCTAGAAGCCATATTTCCAAAATCACATTCAGTGGAAAGAAGCCAACCTGAAACCAAATCTATGTTCCCTCCAGAGGATCTGTGGCAGAGACTCTTCAGTGCTTCTTCCGGCTCCTGATGTTCTTTGCCACTGGCTAGCTCTTGGCTACATTGCTATAATCCTTGCCTGTAAGTACATTGGGGGTCCTCTTTATGTTAACTCTCCCTTTACCTCCCACTGATGAAGCCACGTGATCTCATTCAGCATCCTCATGAGGCAAGATCTCTCCACCTCAAGATATTTAACTACATGCCCAAGTACCAGGGAACTGGAATGGACTTAGCTATCCTTGGTGTCCACTGGTCTGAAAATGACTTGAATGTTGCATTGCACATGTGACCATGTTTCTGGAAGTCAAAAATTAGCCTGGAAGTGGGTTCTATCAAAGGCAGTTTAGCTGAGTTGTCTTTCACAGATCACAAATCTAGAATTTCTATTGCTTCGAGGAAACACCATGACCAAAAAGGGTTTATTTGACTTACACTTCCAGATCATAGTCCATCATTGAAGGAAGTTCAAACAGGAATTCAACAGGGCAAGATCCTGGAAGCAAGAACAGATGGTGCAGAGGACATGGAGGAGTGCTACTTATTGGCTTGTTTAGTCTGCTCTCTTATAGAACAAAGGACTACCAGCCCAAGTTCACCCTCTATGGGATGAACCTTCCCCCATTGATCACTAATTGTCAAAATGCCTTACAGCTGGATCTCATGAAGGCATTTCCTCAACTGAGGAGCCCTCCTCTCTGATGACTCTAGCTTGGGTTAAGTGGACACACAAAACCAGCCAGTACAGACCTTGAATCCAATTCTGAAGGCTGGGTTATTTCACACAGACAGCCTGAAGTCCTAAGATAGGTCATATTCCCTCCCATGTTTAAAAGGCAGGCTATAGTGTCCATGACCTCACCAAGCGTTCTTGGTGACATCTATAAAATGTCTAATGAGCAGAGTTCTTAGAGCAGTGCTGGCTGGTAGATGGTCTCTGCAAGTTAGTAAACATGAGTTGCTGTTTGCTTCAAGGAGAAACTAAAGTGATAAGATTAATTGGGTGAATGGCTGGTGGGGGGGGGAAATACCCATATCATTTTTTATATGGAAGAGTTAAGACAATGAGTACAAGAGATATGACCTTTAAGAGGTTATTATTTTGTTTCTTAAAACTCTTAAGAGACTAAGACTAAAATAAGAAGTGAAGAGAACAACATTATTATTTTAAAAAGAAAAGTGTCTGAGTGGCTTTCTGTGGTGGTGGTCCTTAAAGTGGTTTGTGACTGGGCAGGTGGGCATCCAAGTATGGTGTTAAGAAAGACAAAATTCCTGGAGCTTGCAAGTGTGTGAGACTTGGAGTCCAGGCTCTAATAAAAGGAAAACAAACAAAAAACGCTTAGAAGTGTCACATTTAGTGATAACCAAATTATTACACCTGCTAAGCCTTGTCATGGTATGAGAAATCACTCAACCAAATGTAAAATGTCCCGGGATTTCTACAGGATCTAGTATTTGGGATACAGCCAAGCATGCAATTAAACTCTTCGTTTCAGTGTGATATAAAATGACTGAAGCTTGTCTTCATAAGTTAAGCGCATTTTTGAGCATTCATGAATTTATACTCTGTCTTGAGGATCACACTAGAGGCTGCTGAGGAAGTTACAACAGGGAGACAAGGAAATTGTGCTAGCGTCTTCGTGACTGAACCGTTGAGGAGGCAGCCCTCAGAAAGGAAATTCAAACTTCTCTAGAAGGAAAAAAAAAAGCTAAATAATAAAATATTCCTACAAAAAACACAAAGAGAATAAATAAAAGAATAAATAAATAAATACAGAGTAGGACATAATTGTAGGTTTGATTTGGCCAAAATGATGCCAGGAACTTTAGGAAGGTTTTTGCAAGTGGAAACAGCTGGCCTGATAGTCTACCCCTGAAGGCCAGTGACTAATCAGTGATTGATTCCTGGGAATAACCACATCTCTGTAATACTAAAAGTAATACGTGTCTCAACAATAACAACAACAAAATACATTTTTACACATGATACACAGCTTGCAGCATACATTACATCGCAATGACACCATCAACAGGAGGACCTAGATGCTAAGGCTGGGCTTGTGAAAGGACCTGGCACCTTCCAGCCTGAGTCCAGAGGTTCCCAGGCGGGCGGGGACCAACAGGGGAAGTTGGAGCCTGGAGCGAGCGCTGAAGCACGTGGGCTGAGGGGGTGGGAGGACGCCGGGCGGCGGTGGAGTAACCGGTGAAGTGTCAAGGAGGCAGGAGTGGAGGGCTGCGGGGGTGACAGGGTGTGGTCTGCCTGGAGCGGGCGACGCGGGAGAGCGGGGCAGAGGCCTGGGGCTGCGGATGGTGTCGCGGAGTGCGGGGTGCTGTGACAGCGCGCAGCTAAGCGCAGGCGAGGGTGTCCCAGGCTCGCCAAGTGCCCAGCTCCAAGCTGCTCCAGCGCCCTCGCTGGCTGTGGGGACCGGACACCTGCGAGTGAAGAGCGAGTGGCGCTCAGCCTTCCTAGCAAGTAAGTGTCTCCTGTCTCCGCCGCCTGCACCCTTCGCTATCCACTCCAGCTCCCGGGAAGCGCGCGGGGCTCGGCGGCATTCAGCGATGCTCCCGCCGCGGGCGGGCGGAGACCACTGATCAGGGATAAGCACCCGGGAGCCGGGATGGGGACCAAAAAAGAGATCAGAACCAGGGAGCAGGAATTGGGACTAGGGGACTGAGATTGGAGCCAGGAAGCGGGATTGTGGACCAGGGAGCCGAAATGGACAGTGCGGAGAGGGGACAGGGACCCGCCCGAGGCCCCGCTGCTCACCCCGGCGAAGGCACAGTGGCAGGCTCGGATGTTGCCCATCTTTGTGTCATACCGGATCCCAGAGCCCTGCCAGGCCAGGGGTGGGCCAGAGAAAGCCACTTTAAGGCTACCGGCTCCACCTCTCTCCACCCCACAGCTCCAGGGATTTCAGTGTGGGCCACCCGGCGCCGGTGCTTGCCAGAACCCCCAGGGCCGCGGGTGGGTGGTGGCTGGACCACCCGGCAGCACCGCTGGGCTTGTGTTCTTTTTAGGTACAGCGGCTCTAACTGGTGGGTGTTGGGAGGCCCGGTCGACTTGGGAGCTCCTAGTCCATTGCAGGGACCCACTTGCTTCCAGGCTTTTCTTGGGGTCTGGAGGGGTAAGGTGGGAAACCAGAACCCGAGGCCTGAGCGTCCGGTGCCCAGGCTTGTGCTCCGGCTAGCAGGTGCACACTGGGTGGGTCCCTGTCTGGCTCATTGTTCGCGGTGACTGTTCTTGGAGCCGGGCTGGGCGACACAGACACAGCTCACTGGGTTAATAAAAGTGTTGACTTGGAGGAGTGAGGGTCAGAGCCAACTTACCATACATTTTGGAAAGGGACTTGTCGGTTCAGAGAGCAAGAGTAGTCGACAACGGAAACCGTCCCTGAGTGCAAAACTTAGATCTGACTGATTCAGACAGACTGCCTAGCGGATGGAGGAGCTTCGGAAACAGGAATGATATCCCCCTCCCGCATTGAAATTGTTTTCAGGATAATGAAGATGGAGTTTTAAGCGTTTGGGGCAACTGCCTGTTTTCTCTGGCTAGCACCTGTTTCCCTTAAAGGTTCTTGGGCGGGGTTTATTCTTTTTCCAGCCCTTTCCCTCTCTTTGTGGATTTGCATTCTTTCTTTTGGTACCTTCAAGTAGTAAGATTGCATGGTTCTGGGAGAGGAGTCCCTTTTAATAAACAAAGTGTAATTTCCTCTGTACATATGACCACTCAGTGGTTTAGAGTCCATGGCTCCCCACCCTGACAGGGATGTTAACATTTATGGATGGAAGTGGAGCCAGAGGCAAACGCAGGGGGAGCCTCATCTCCATCCTCTCTTCCGAAGGCATTCCCAGGACAACTTGAGTAAACCCTTTTCTTCCATCACAGCATATATATCCTTATTTGGCTTTCCCCCATTATTTAAGTGACAATGGTATCACCTGTGCATGGTGGCAGTGCCTTAGTCCCTGAGCAAAGGATGCATTTGTTCCCTCTTTTCCTGATGTGCACAACTCTTAGCAAGAGATATTTAAATATCACTTCATGTGGGTACTGCATGCACACATGTTTATGCATATGCATTGTATATCTCTAGTCAGTCGTGAATATCAGTAGTTACTAACAAACACCCCTGCCCTTCTCCCTAGATTTGATGTTGTTGTGCCCAAGACCTGCTAAGTGCATTGTCTGCTGAAACCTAGAGTTCAGCACCCAGGAGAAATAACTCATGTGAACATCTCTCTGACCATAGCTTTTTTGCTCTTGGAGGGAGAATGAATAGATGGAGAAGTGTGGGTGCTGGTTAAGATATGAAAAACTGTATAGACTGGTTCTAAGACTGGAAGTGTGAATGAGGTAGATGATAAGTAGCGGTGGAAACCTGGGCAGGCATCTCAGTTCATCACAGACATACATGTAAACTATATTGTGTTCTCGTCTCTTTCCTATCACTTTTAATGCTTATATCCTAACACATTTATTGCTTTTCTTGTGTTTTTCCTATTAAAAAGAACTTTCACTGCAGCCTATTGTTATATCTCATTTTTGACACTTAGATGTTCATTGGATGCACTGAATTATCTGTACAGATTTTCTTTTGTTTGTTTGCACACAGTGTCCAAGTTAGTGCAGGACCAAATGAGCAATGAATCAGCCAAGCTCTAATGAAGATTAAGACATGAAAGTTATCCACAGCTATGTTTAAACTAAGCACTCATTTAACCACCTTCCCACGTGACCAATTTCAGTTAGTAGCTTGTTCATCTTCCAAAGTCTCCAGACTCTAAATTCTTACTCAGATTGATGACTACACTAAATCTTGATTGTAAAAGAACAGAACTTAATTATTTGGGTCTCATTTATCAGTCAGTAGTGTTTAGCATTGCCAAAATAATTATTTCACTGAAATATGCCTGACTTTAAAGCATGTAGGGAAAGGTCCTTCTTAAATGTGTTTCTTCATAAAAGAAAAAAAACAAGTCCTTAGAAAGCCATAATTTCACTGCTTTGAGGCCCTGTAGCCATTTGTATTTATTGAGTTTTCTCTTCCACAGAAAGAGCCATTGTTTTGTTGTCTAGGAGCTGAAGAAAGATAGAAAGTGAGAAAAGAAACAGTTAAAATGATATTTTTTTTCACAGGGGGAAAATGTGATTTAAGTAAATACTATTTGTCTTAAAAGTATATTAAAACCATATTATGGGCCAGTATAGACATGTTATTGCTAAAATTTCATGAGAAGTTTCTATAAAGCCTGAACTTTTAAGCAAATCTTGGAATATTTTCAACATTCTGTAAGTTATGAAATGCTGCTGAATCACCATTACCAAAACATTGAAATTTCATCAAATATATATTGGAGTGTACTCTCTTTTTCCAAGTGCTTTCATTGTAATAGTCTGTCCATTGAGATTAAAAAGAACATTATTGATGTCATGGTGTGCCTTGCATTTTAAAATAGCAGCTAATGAATTACAAACATTCATTACTCTACAACCACTTGCTGTAATTCCTCAGGACCCCCAAATAGAGAATTATTTGTACTGTACACTGTCATTCAAGTCTTTACTGAGTCTATGCCAGCCATCCCCTTTTCTTCAAATTAAATAGTCTTTTAAATCAATACCTGCCAAACCTGAGTCTTTTGATATTTTCCCCCTGTGTCATAAATGTATGGTAAATATGTTGCACATGGACTGACTGATGAAGGAACATACTGTTGAACACTTGGTGGGAGGCAGTGATTGGTGAGGGAAGGGATGAAGAGAGGAGAGAAACTTCCATTAAAACTTGAGTCAGAACTTAGCAGGCAGAAAGAAGAACAGCTTTCCCTGCATGGAAGGCACAGAGGAGCTCCTCAGGGCCCATAAGTCTAAGCCCATGTAGTGCATTTGGCTTCTGCAGACTCCACTTTTCTAAGCAGAAACCCTGTCTTTGCTGGCTATATTTGAATTCTGGCTTTGGCTTTTCATGGGTACCAAAGATTCTCTGGTTTCCCATACTGTTGCTGGGAGGAGTGCTCTTCCATTTATAGAAGAATGAAATGTGTCAATGTATGTTTCCAGAATATTTTAGCAACCCCTTTTTGTTTTTCTTCCATGACTGCTCACTGAACGTTCATTAAACATGAGATGTTTGACCCTCAATTTGCCTGAGTAGACAAAACCAGAAATGTAGCTCAAATGACTAAACTAAATCCATTAAAATAGTGCTTTTAATTTCCTTTGATGTAAACTAATTGAAGAAATCATTATTGAGTTAAGTGTTGAATTTAAAAATCAACAATGGTTTCTATTTCTTTTAAGATGAAGATCAGCTTAATTAACGAGAAGGAAAGCATTTATAAGAAAAAGACTAAGAGAATCAATTTCAATATATATATATATATATATATATATATATATATATATATATATGATCTACAATGCTGCTCTTGTTCTGCTTTTCCTTATCTTACTCTGGTTATCTACTCATTTTCTCTGTCAGGATACATAATTTTGTTTTCAATTGTGGACCCATCAAAGTAGAGAACAGGAAGTACTTAGAACAGAATCTAAATAGGTCTAAGAGGAGGATTAATGGTGATAGGATAGTAAGCAAACCAAGAGATAAACACTGATCCTAGAGTACTCTGGAATAATGGTACTTATATCTTGTCTGGATGAAGATGTGGTAAATAACTAACAATTGAATCAACTTCCATGTACATCTATAGCATTAAAATGAAAATCCAAGCCCCGTTCTTAATGACATTGAGTACACACTTTGATCACTCTCATAGCAAGCCTTAAGCAATACAGCAAGGCAGTCACATTTCCCAGTAGAAAGAATTCCCCTTGGAGTATATCAATCTCAAGCATTCTTTATTGGTGAGGCTAAAAAGGAATTCTGTGAGAGTACTGTGATGCCATGGGACTGGAAACTAAGACATTTCTTTCGTTTTTTAACAAAAACAAATTTATTTTATGTGTATGAGTGTTCTACCCCTCTAAATGTTTGCTCACTGCATGTGTGTTGTGGCTGAGGGAGCCAGATCCTGGGACTAGGGTTAAGGAGAGTTGCTGGCTTCCACGTGGTTGCTGGAAATTGAACTCACTCCTCTCTCTGCAAGAACAACCAGCACTCTTAACTCCTGAGCCATCTCTCCAGCTCCCCAGTGTTCTCCCAACTTCTCTTCATGCTTTCTTTTCTCTCCTCATTCTCTCCTCCCATTTTTCTTCTTCCCACCTCCTGTCTTCCTTTCCTTCCCTTCTCCCACCCCATTCCTTGCTTTACTAATTGGTTTCTCTACTTGCTACTTGCCTGGCACTGATTGATAGGTGTGGCCATTCCAATAGCAAGCTTACCCCACTGGGCTGGCAGGTTTTGAAATTTCTGTCCATGTAAATATAGTATTTCTTCTAAGTACTGCCCTTAAGTACCGTAGTTAAGTTTAAGTGCCCACTGGTTGTTTCCCTTTGTACTAGAATCAACAACC